AACTGAAATTTAGACATGTTTATACAGGATATGTGAAAAGGTCATTTTAAATAGTGTTGGAAAGACAGTTCAAAAATAAAACAGATATGTTATCTTGAAAGTACTTGAAAAGCCGTGAAATCATTTGACTAACACTACACAAGATCGGACGTAAATATAGAAATCTTAACTTAGATGTAAGTTTGACAATTGTCAGATATATTTTGGTTGATTTTATTTATTGCCTTAAGCAATTTATATATTAACAATTTGCTTCAAACGTCCTTATTTTGCCTGAGACATGTTCGATATGGATCCTTTATCAAAGCATGTGTCCTATAATATATTTTCAATAACATTGCGGGAAATAATAAATAAAATATGATAAATTGAAGTGAAAGACATTGTGAAAAATAATAGATTGAAGAAATGAATAATATGACAAGAAGGTTCATAACATCAAATATTATTTGGATGTGGCTACAACATGGACGGGGCACGGGTGGCTCAGTCGTCAAAGGCGCCGCGATTCGCTGTGCAGTGTTGCGTCCCTTGGGAACGCCAGAAACCTATGATTGTGGGTTCGAATCCCGGTTCGCCCCGATTATGTTTCTAGGTTTGTAAGCACCACACCCGTGCTCGTGGGTATTACCGAAGTGGTAAACGTCTGAGACCTGCATCATGTCGGGTTTTCCTCCCACATTAAGCCGACACGCCGCGATATAACTGGAATAGTATTAAAAGTGGCATTATACTCACTCACTCACTCACTCACTCACTACAGTATCGACAATATACTGGCCTGTGGTGTCTGGGGACTCAGACGTAGTAGCTGGTTTACCGGACTGAATTGAAATCATGTGTTTAAGAAGCGTTATACCCAACTCACTCCCTCACTAATGTAATGCATACGAATAGTTTAAACGACTATTTTATAGAGAGCTTATATCTGAATTCACTTTGAGCAATATTGATCCGTTAGTGACCAGGTAGGAACTGATAAACTGAATATTTGCGTAATTTTACCCCTATGGCATGTGACACTTCGCAAATCCGATATCGACAGATCAAAAAGGATAATGTCAATATCGCTTGAGAACAAAGCACGCGGTGTAAAGCTCTTGGGTCGACTTCATGTCCACGTAATCAACTGGCAGTAATATTGAGGTCACCGCTCAATCATTTTAACCAAACAACCAAACCCACTATTATGCAATGGAGACTGTAGCATGCTTTGTGTGTACCGGGTGTTCATCAATGACAATCATATGATAACTGGGTTTAGTAGGTATTGGTGTAGACTAACATATAGTCTCTGAAATCTTATATTACACAATATCCTTCTTGACTCTAAAAATAACAAAATATTCCCTGTGCTGATGTCGAGCTGGCTAGACTTGCTTTTGTATGCATTTCTAGATGATTTTTTTTCTCATAAAAAATATATTCCACGGTCATGGTGCAGGACTAGTATTGGTGGAATGCTGGATTGTCTTGTTTATATCAACTTTTTTAGGTATTCCAGTGCGACGTTACAGTATCGATAGTAGTTAAATTTCTCAAGGAAGTGATAGTCGACATCACCTACTCGAGAAATTGTTGTAGGTTTCTTTCGCTGTTGGCGATGAAACCGTAGGAATTTGGTTTGTGGTGAGTTGGTTTTAATTCGGGTTGGCTAAAGAAGACGTCTGGTCAACTGTGAGGCTACAAGTCAGAGACCTAGGTTGACCACTGTCATCTTGATGTATTAAGTTGGGGAAGGCTTTCGGTGACTAATCAACGAGTTAGTGTGCATCGTATTTTGACTTCATGGCTTGCTGATCGCTACAGTGGTCTAGTGGATGGAGCATCCGGAGAGAGGAAGTTCAAGAGATGGTACTTGTACCCTCCCTGGCGCTCTGCAGTAAGGGATAAAACAAGGTCTGGTCGGCTCCGAGTCAGTATACTGTGTCTCAGTAGGGTGTCTATGGTGGGCTAGCACTATCAAACCGACAGTAGTCCGGGCTGGCACTGCCAATGAACTCCTGGCGTTAACATTGTATGGCACTTATTATGCCGTACACTGTTTGGTGGAATGAATGAATAGCTTGGCTGAAACTGTACATCAACCCGAAAATATACATAACAGTCATATTTTATAAATGTAAATGACAGCAAGATGAAAGAAATCTACTAAAGAAGCGGTTTTCACTTCAAAGTCGACATTGTTTACATGCACTTAAGACTACTGGAACGGCACTGCTAGGCAAATATAGTTCCTTTTTTATTGTTTTACCAGAAGTATAATCAAATAGCAAATGCGACCTGATGTCAGTGAATTGGTATAAAAAATCGTAACGCAAAACCAGTACCAGTTTATCCTAAGAAAAGCTAAATGTCATTGAGTATTTATTCTAAAATGTCGAAAACTCTATTTAAGCAAAGCCTCAAACACAAAAACGCCAGCTGTATGACGCCGAAACTTCTCTCGCTGACAAGCTCACCGTCAAGATATCTCCAGAGGACCGGTGGTAATGATGAGAGACATACACCTATCATGGGTCAGTTAATGTGGTACATGGATAAGGTCATTTCATGATAAAAATTAGAATAGCGTCTGGTTAAAATCAGTTCATGCTCACGAGACACATGATCACGTTTTTCAAAACGGGGGCAGACGGAATATTAACCAATACGCCTTAGAGCAAACACCTCATATCTCTCTTTCTGCTCTTATGAACACTTTGGGAGAACGTGTCAAAAATCATATCCGATTCTGTAATTTCGGTATTCGGCTACCGCCAAATCTTGTCGGTTATTGTAGAACTGTTGTACGTTTGTTTACGATAATAAACAGCTCATACACTTGCCCAGGTTGTATTTTTTCTTATAAAGGTTTCCTTTATCTGATCATAAAAAAACGTAGTATTGTACCATTTTTTTGCAAAACGGTTGAATGCATATACAGCGTTAACAAAGGCGCACATTTCACACCTGTGACTGACAGATGAACTAATATTAATGAAGTGAAATATACGTTTTACAAATATCGAATCATGTGTGCTACAGACTTGTCGACAATATCTGCCAACACATGTTCGGTTAAGTCCTATGGTAACATAATGTTAAAGTATAATACCACGTTTAGAATATGGTGGTGAAACAGGCGTGTGCTTCTCAATTACATTCATTGCAATTATCTATGAAACAGATTCATATTAAATTCCAAAATTTACATTATTTTGTTTGTGCATAAATGTGTCGAACGTTTCTATAGTAACACCGGCTCTATTGTGTAGATAATTATATACTCTGCCAAAAATGTTGGACCTCGTGAATAATACATGTCAAAATCAGTCGTCATTAGAAATGTCAGCTTTGAAAGGTGACTACCTGAAAGAGAACCAAAACACAAAGCCCCAACCCACCTAAAACATTGCCCGTGGACCTGGGTAGGGAGGCATCCTTGATTTTAATTTTGTCGCTCTGAGTCTGATTTTCATGATTTTCACGAAATTAACACGTAAGCTCTCTACTCTTGCTTTAATGCATTATTTGTTATCAGATTTGTAATGTGTCGTCGACATCGTCAGGAACACCTAAGGTTTATTTGCACGCTTCAACCTGGTAAAACTCCGCGAAAGGTAGCCAGTGTGTTCAATGTGTCTCAGTCTGTGATTTGCAGCCTTTGAAACAGGTTTCTGCAGACACAGAATGTAAATAATCGACCACGAACAGGGCTCAAAATCCACAACACAAGTCCAGGGTCGCTTAATCAGAAACAAGGTTTTAAGAAATCGAGCCGAAAGAGCCAATCAAATCGCTGTTCACTTGCACTAGACCGTAGACCGTCTGCTTGCACGTTTTGTCTTTCAAGACAATAAACCTCGTGCTCACCGTTCGCGTATGGTAACTGACTACTTCCAGCAGCTGAGTCCTAACCTTTCCTGACCTTTCCCCCACAGAGACGTGAGCAGTAGACGTACGCCGACGTCAAACGCCACCCGCCACGTGTTGCAATGGGCCAGACGCTGCAAAAGGAGTGGACAACACGCCATGCAAACTGTTATTGGGTGATTGATTCTGACCGAGCCACGTAGTATAAACGAGTGTTTGACTTATCGTTGGGAACATTATCAATTTGTGATCACGTCCTCTTGAACGTTCATGTTTATACTATTCTTTCTTGGTTCCTTGCGCCCTTACAATATATCGGCAACTTGTTCTGTTGATTGCCATGTTGCACCTAGTCTTTTCTGGTTCTTACCCAACCAATACCATCACTCGATACCTCTTTGTAATTCTGTAATTATCTGTTATTTTCGAATATAACCAACTGTTTTGAGAGCATGTGGTATAGGTTGTGCACCATGGCTACGCTTCACTAAAAAACCTTCTGTACAATGTTTGACAATGTGCTTGTCAGACCATGTACGCTTTACACATATTCCTAGTCAAACACAACTTCCTGATTGTCGGCTTTTACAAGAGTGGATAAACAAAAAAATATTGTTTTTGTTGTATTCGTTTTGCTGGTCGCACGATCCATATAACCAAGGCCTTGACAGACTGCAGGCAACTATGCAACATGCATACCATATTTACCAATGATTTCGGATATGTCGACCGCATCGTATATCTAACATAGAGGTCTTTCGGTGATATTTAACGTTAAAATTAAAAGAAGTCATAATTGCAGTTTTGAATTAGGTTTGTTACACTGTACGTTACTTGTCAGCTAACCAGTTTTATAATCTGGTATATTCTAACAGGAACTTTTTATCCTGAACATAAAAAAGGTATCTGACTCCTCCTACTGATTAGGCTGTCGTAAATCATCATTCCGGATAGGATACAGAGAAAATTGAAAATGGAAGGGTACATCATCCTACCACAGTAACAACCTCATCCCCACCGAAAGAGAAGGGGGGAAACAATTCCAGAAATGTCTTTTTTTAAATACAACAAACACACACACACACACACACAAAAAAATTAAATGTAAAGTGAACACAACAATGAGTGAATAATACGAACCGTACCTTTCTACGCTGACAGCCAGGAGTGACCATACCGAGCAATAGAGGGATGAAACGAGAAGGAACCGATTGACTTTACACGCTACTGGTCCAAGAAGCCACCCTCTGGACAAAACAAACTGTCCGATCTCGGGGATACCAAGGATCATTATGAAAATGTCCGCAACAGCAAGGTTGATGATGAAGAAATTGGTGACACATTTTCTCATTTTGTCATCTATGAGAACGGCAGTTATAACTAGGATGTTGCCAAAGATTCCAACGCTGCATATGATGATAAAAACAATGGAGAGAAGGACAACTGTATCCATACTTGGTGTCGCTGAAGAAGATACCGGAATCACAGGATGAGATCCATTCATTCCTATACTTATGCTTTCGGATGCGTTGTGACTTGTAAAAGTTTGAAGAGTTGCTACATAGAGCGCCAGAGATGTCGCATTATCAACATTACTTCCCATTTTGATTAAAGGTGTCGGATGCAAACAGAGACACCGATTGTTGACTCAACAAGCACAATATTTGAACATCCGATCAAACCAATGCCAATGTCATTACATCTGGTGCCAGAGAAACGGATATTGATATTTCACACCATGCATCACACAGTATGTGACACACTTGGTAAACGCGCGAGAATGATTTATCCGCTCGCATGCAGGCTGGATTAAAATCCCCGCCTTCCAATAGAGGAATTTTCTTGTGAAATGAGGAAAGGCGTCATCGGTTTAAATATCGCCCACTAACTACTGTCAGTACCTACAGCACACTGATCGATCTGTGTATAGCTTCCCTTCCAGTCAAATGTGGTAGTTCCATTTACCAGACAGAACTCATAAGCGGGTCAGCTATATGTGTAAAAACATGATAGTTCACAGAGTACTGTCTATCTCAATCATCCAGGATCAGATATATTTGTCATAATTGGACAAGTATCACATCTTAGCAAGCATAAAGCGATTATTAATCACTTTCTTCCGCAAATATAGCCAGAATTTCACCCCTCATAATCTCGGCACCTAACAGACTGGAAGTGTAAGCAATCACACATCGGCGGCAAACGTGACAGAAAATCCCTCAGAAGAACTCTATACGTGGCGTCTTGGGCTCGTCCAGATGAAATCCGATTTAGGATATCGCTGAATCAATCGTATCGGAAGCCAGCAACAATCCAGCAAATCAAACAATCCCCTACTCAACGCATAAGAGAATATCTTAAGTACAGCTTCCAGAATGTGTCAATGAATACACAAATCGACTCTATACACAAAAGTATATATTAAAGTCATTACAAATATTATCCCGTGAACGTATTGGACAATCTTCATTTGTCCAAGAAAGCTTTAGGCTATGCAGCACAATCTGATCACAAAGCACTATCCTGTTGTTTCCAGGACCATATTCCAGCTCTCTGAAAGACAACAATATTAGCGCGCTCTTCTTCAGATACAATGCAGGCTAGGATGTGCCGGCACATAACTGGTGGGTGGTAGAAGTGAGGACCCACACACTCAACAGCCAATTGTCTTCTGTCTGCCTTTCATCCGCTATCATGTTCAAAGTAATAGTAATATCATAGCATCAACGAGTTTGCATGTGCTCTCCCAGGCAGCAATTGTTTTCAATAAAAAAGGGAAAAAATGTTTTGTTTTAATGCATAGTTACAGCTAATTGCATCTGACCTTCACGGTTACGTGCTCTCCTGGGAAGTATTTTGTTGTTAAAAAGTAAGTTTTTAATGTGAAGTATACACGATATACAGCCATTTGACACTTGACAGCGAAACGTTCACATGCATATAAAAGAGGCATTTTGACGTCGAACGTCTTTCGGACGGATTACTCCCCCCACATTCCCAGGGAAACTCATGGGAATTATCAAGCATGAATAAGTACAAAAGCATCATTTAGACCCTTTAAACTTGAACTCGGTACTTTTGCATACATTGGAAAATGTCAAAGTGTTTTACTGCATGTCCGTGGGCGAATATCCTGCTTACGACCAATCCAAGCGAAGTAAATGAAAAATGCACAACTAATATATAGATTAATCCTAGCAGTGACAGTCACCTACATTCTACAGCGATCTATGGATTTTCTTCAGTATTATTTCGACATATATTTATATCGCCTTTGAATGATTGGCCAACTGATCAATGATGACAAATACCTAATACCCGCAAGTTCATAAAGACAGTATGAAATGCTCCTGTCAGGTTGTATGGTGTCGGCTACTTTGACGTCCTGTACTTGAAGTAAATATGCTACTACGCAAGATTCTTCAGGGCAATTTCAGCATACATACGCTCAAGTCATCGGTCATTTTGAGGAACTTTTTCTTCTGTGATATAACTAGTTGTTACAAAATGAAATTGAATACATCTTCGAAGGTTCAAAATTATGACATAAAAAGTAAATTAATTAACACACAGTGAAAACATTTACGCGTGGTTGCCTCAAATTGCATAACCATTATATTTGATCAATGAACTTGGTATAAGTGACATATAAACTATCAAGTACTATGAACTTTTGGCTTGACCCAAAACAAAACCATTCTCTCCATTCCAAAGTTCCACAAAATTCCACACAAAAGAGATATATTGTTTGGTGAAGCAGATGCACATTCAAATCTACATCTCAAAGACTGTCCACAATCATTAGTGTGACGAAGAACATCCTTTAATGTACAGAAGGTACTTGAGACAAGTGGAATTAATACCATGTGTGTCCAACATGACAAATTTCATATTCCTCTTTATCCATGATGCAATTGTCACTAAACGTCACTAAAACGTCTCCATAGGTTCTTGACAATTTGTTACAAATTGAAAGCAAATGTCTTTTGAGAAAACAATATGTGAAACGCTCGACTTTGTTTCAACATTGAAAAGTAATCTAAAATTCAGCATATCATAAAAACATGAATTCTGCGAATTCTTTTTATGAAATATACATTTTGCCGTTTGAATCAATATATGTATAGACACTAGTTGACTCCAGTCGATTAATGATTACAGATTTACTTCATATTTTTTATGAGGCCATTTCCTGGTGTTCCCGGCCCGTACGCGTGATATTGCTGAAATACATCAAATATTCACTCACTTATATTATATATATAGATACATTTGATGTAACGATGCAAATTAAGATATATGTATTTTAATAATTTTTTCAACCCCAGGAACTACTATTAACACAGAAAACATAACTTTGCAGAAACTGCCACGGCAAGGGCATCTCGCATTAAACTTGAAGACTCCCGGCGCGTATTTGGGCTATGTGATCTCGGATAATTCCACCATGGAACGCCCGAGTGATGACGAATGAAACAGACATACGCAATATGTGAGGGCGCTATTATCTTTTTCAAGTAATGGAAGGCATGCGACGTGCTTGTCTGAGCAAACATGACATTGGACTCTGTCAAAATGCAGCATTTTACCCTAATTAAATCACGTATGGAACGGGTCTCCACTGTGGAGATATTGCCATGCCTCCGACACAATAGAAACCCAGGACCTCAGTAAGTGCCCGCTAGTATCTAGGAGGGTGCAAGTAGGACTAGGGAAAGAGTTAGGGAGTCCATTTGCCCTGATTATAGCATTACGCCCCAATGCAACCAATATCCAACCAATATCCAACCAATACCCAAAATTCAACATTGCTTCAACATTGATATCTGATGTTGTTTTAATCTCGACTTTTCAACATCATTTCACAAATACAACCATAATTCAATGTAATTTAAGCGTTGAAGCAAAACATTGACTCAACATTGATTCAGCATTGTTGTAGCTGCCGGTCGATCGGCTTCCAGATAGGATCATGCTCTTTCTATGATGATTCAGTGAGCGTCATACGACATGTTCTTACAGAATTCAAGACCTCATTAAAACTTTCAAAGGTTTTATGGTAGACACTTGACTTGTCTTTGCATGTGTTTGTGACGGCTGAAACCGGTGGGCCGGGATACTTTTGCCTTTAGTCGAGCACCGGGAATATACAAAGTATGCATAAATATATACTTATAATATAGTTGGAATCGTAAAATGGAGGTTTCTTATGATTATGGAAAAGGTTTTGTCACTTGGATTAACGTCAGTTCAAGAATATATTGGTCTTTTTGACAGATGTGACGTTTCAAACGTAAGAGGTGTCAGTATGGGAGAGGTAAACAGGCAGATATCCTCCACATACACGATGACATTTATTCAGTGTATGTCTGTGTCATTTGTGTAAACGTCTACATTCGTTCAATGTTCCATTCATAGTTTGCTAGGAGTATGTAAAGTCAATGCTATGGAGTGTGCCAGTGATCTAATAAGTGAAGGGGCAATTCTTGTTCGATGCAGAGCATCCATTTCGACCGCTAATTTTTGCGTCAATGATATCCTATCCTTTATCCACATGTTCTGTTTGTACAACCATCCCGGTAAAACAAGGAAATCGAAGCCAGGGACAACTTTATTATTGATGATAGCAGCATTCCGTGTAATGTTTTTTACATTCTCCATCTTTCTTATGTTAGAATATTAGATGTTTACTGCTAAAATGATAAATGATGATAGACGAAATTTATACCTGAGTACCATGTATTCAATGAGAATGGTTTATGTGAGACATGTTTTTTTACACAAACAGATGATCACTTTGCCTTTACAGGTAAACATGTGTTTTGAAATTATTTGCTTGTATAAAATTATCGTCTTGTCAATAGAATTTAAGATGAATGTCTTCTACGTTTAACATGGCGACTTTGATTAAACCCACCAGCATGGATATTGTGCTGGGAAATCTAGATTCATTAACAGGGCGAACCGGGATTCGTACCCACGATCCTTGTTTCTGGACACTCCAATGGCGGCTTCTTTATTACATAACTACATGAACAATGTACAAAATGGATGTGATTTGTTATTGAAATAATACTTGGGAAGTGATACTGTAAAATCCTGACACACATAGTCCTATATATATCACCTGATGTCTAGTGAGTGAGTGAGTGGGTGTGGTTTTACGCCGCTTTTAGCAATATTCCAGCAATGTCACGTCGGGGGACACCAGAAATAGGCTTCACACATGGTTACCATGTCGGGAATCGAAACCGGGTCTTCGGCGTAACGAGCGAACGCTTTAACCACTAGGCTACCCCACCATATTAGTCCCGTAGTAATAGCTTGGTCCCTGCTTATTCCTTCTTGATTCATCATATTTGGTTGTGTCGAACCTCGGACAACTCGAAGTATTTATGTAGGTCCCTTCAACTTCGACATAATAGTATCCGACTGTACGTATCATTAAGTAGAAGCGCTACATGCTTCTACGCAGTATCTCGGATAAGTCCGAAGAATTGGGTTAAGTGTTGGACATGAACACAGAGGGAGTATTGATTAAATCTACACTGTTGCTTTTAGACAAACTGTGTAGATCAAGCCTTACACATGTCCGAATGAGGCAATATAACTATCCAACGTTTCATTTCTGCTTCAATTTCAAACGTTTTTCGCCAGACACCCGTCTATAAACATCACAGCGTGTCAATATAAATAACCGAATACAAAACATAGACACATCAGAGCGCCATTGAATACTAAATATTTATATTGGACAATATATGTCAAGATATTAACGCTGGTTAATGAGCAAGGAGAACGCGTCTATGATAGTCAACAAATAGTCCCACTGGGATTAAACGATGAAGATTATATTTTCATGGACATATTTCTGTCATGCTTCAGTTATGTATGAGAAATAGGTTTGTTATTCAATTCCTCATGTACCTTGATCACTGTAATTGTATCTGTTGCAATCTGATTAGAAACGTTAGCGATGCTGTGCCGTTTGAACAAGGTGGCACTAGGAAATGAAGTATGGTATCGATCTGGTGTAATGTGATGGTACTTGGAAGCTCGGAAGTTGACGAAGCTTATCACATAGCCCCGACCTGACCTGCGTTTGTATTGTATTTGTATTTGGATCCATAATCACATATCGTATAACCCAAACCGAATTAATTAGACCCTCCCAAATACTAAGAATAATATAGAAACAGCCTGCGAAACTTAATCGTGAATTTTTTAGGCAATCTTAATGAGACTGAACAAATAAATTCACTCACGATGGAGAATGAACGATTATATTTGCAGCTGAAAAAATTAACAATAAAACCCTGAATTACATCAAAGACGTATATGATTACATTTTAATATTTTTGTAAATGTTGTGAAGTTTGTATTAAGCGTTACGGGACGGGGTGTGTGTGTGTGTGTGGGGGGGGGGGGGGGGGGGGGCAGTTGTCTAAGGCACAGAATTGCGTCCTTTGGGCGCGGCAGAAAACTTTCTAGGTTTGTCAGCACCATACCCGTGCTATTGGGTTTCACCGA